ACTCTTGGGGCTGCAGCTCAGCCAGGCCAGCCCTCATATACCATCAGGCAGGCCCAAGAACAAGTGCCCAGCCTTGGAGTTCACATCCTCTGGCAACTCCCTAAGCCCCATCCTGCATCCTTTGCATGGGGTTGAGAGAGGACAGACTGCAAGGAGGGAGCCTCTCAACTCACTGCCTCCTCCAGTGCCCAGCTGCAGCCTCAGGACCACTGGCCTCTGTGGCAGATGTCGCTGCTGGTCTCTGTCCCCCACTGAGTGCTGTGAGGCAGGGTATCTGGTTGGCACTCACCTGCTGTGTGGCCCTGGCCCAGGCTGGCTTTCTCACCTCTCAGGACTGGAAAGGAGTTAGGCGTGGCCCTGCTGCACTGGGGCTGGCACAGAGCAGGCTCAGTACACACTGGCCACCGTGGCCACTTAGTAAGAGTGTAAAGTATTGGTTCCAAGTGTAACATATACGTGCAAAAAAGTGCTCAGGTCATGAGTATTCAGCTCAATGGATTTTCACAAATGGAATGTGCACACCTGAGTAACCAGCACCCATAGGAAGCCAGAAAGCCCCAATCCTCACTCCCAAGCCTCTCCCAGCCATTAGGCCCTGGTGACCACCATCCTGACATCTAACAGCCTACCTGTGTTGGCCTGCCTGGGACTCTACACACAGGGATTAGGCCCTTCATTTCACTGTGTGTGTCTCTCTGCTCTCTGTGCTGCTGAAGTCCACTCATGCGCAGTGATCCAGAATCTTCCATTGGGGCATACGCCGCCATGAAACCATCCAAATTGCCATTTGATCTTCAGAACTATCTTCTATATATATATAAGCCTAAGCAACTGAACGGCTGGCTGGTAGCTCTGATGCACACTGACCACCAGGGGGCAGACGCTCAACGCAGGAGCTGCCCCCTGCTGGTCAGTGTGCTCCCATAGCGGGAGCACTGCTTAGCTGACTGAGGCACCGGATGCTGGGCTCCAGACGCTGGGCTCACTGCGAGCCCCTCCCACCTCTGCAGCAGGCATAGCTGAGCCAGGATGAGCTGAGTGGGAGCGGGGCTCTAGTTTATTGATAAATAAAAACAAGCCTGCCCTGGCCAGTTTTGCTCAGTGGATAGAGCATTGGCCTGCGGACTGAAGGGTCTCAGGTTCCATTCCGGTAAAGAGCACATGCCCAGGTTGCGGACTCAATCCCCAGTAGGGGGCATGCAGGAGGCAGCTGATCAATGATACTCTCATCATTGATGTTTCCATCTCTTTCCCTCTCCCTTCCTCTCTGAAGTCAATAAAAATATATATTAAAAAGCAAACAAGCCAAACTGGTTTGGCTCAGTGGATAGAGCATCGGCCTGCGGACTGAAAGGTTCCAGGTTCGAGTCCGGTCAAGGGCATGTACCTTGGTTGCGGGCACATCCCCAGTAGGAGGTGTGCGGGAGGCAGCTGGTCGATGTTTCTCTCTCATTGATGTTTCTAACTCTCTATCCCTCTCCCTTCCTCTCTGTAAAAAATCAATAAAATATATTAAAAAAAAAAAAGCAAACAAAACCCAAGTGTGCAGGGTAGTGTGCTCAGGTGTCACTCGGGCCCCACATTCCCCTTGCCAACATCACACATTCCATCTCCTCACTCTCACTGTGGCCTTGGTGACTATGTCATCCTTTCCCTTCTTCCTTATGGAACCACCAGGGGGCAAGGACCAGGAGGTGACTGTGCTAGAACCCAAGGCCAGCAGTGGGGGAGCTCGTGGGGTGGTGGGGGTAGGCTGGGGCCCCCTAAGCTGCTGGCCTCCCACATCTCTGCTGTGGACTGCCCTGGTCTGGGAGAGGCCAGATGGGGGCACGGGGAAGAGAGGGGGAGGTGGGGGTGGGGTAGGAAAGACAGGGGAGGAGGTGGAGAGAGAAAAGTAGAGAAGGGGGAAAGGGAGGGGGAAGGGAGAGGAGAGGGTGGGAAGTGCAGGAAGCTGTGGGCACTGCACTGGAGGAGATGAATTTTAGCAGGATTCAGAGCAGGTGGGATCTGGGGAAAGTTCCCTGCCCTCCTTCCTGTCTTTACTCAGGGCCACAGCTTGGACCAGGGCCTGAACCACCTCTCTGGGCCTCCCAGCTCCTTTCCCTGCCTCATGATCTTCTAGTGACACCTTCAAAGCCAGCTCTGACCTCCCCATCCAGCCCACTGCAACCCCTCAGCTCCCTCCCACTCCTTGGCTCCAGCTCCCAGGGTGATGAACATCTGTCCCTCCCTGTGCAGGTCCTGAAGGAGAGGAGGGGACAGGCCAGGTCCTGTCTCACTGCCTCAGCCCTACATTCAGAGCCCTGCCTTGATTTCTGCTTATCTGTGGGCCACCTACTATTATTATTTTAAATAATTTTATTGATTTTTAGAGAGAGAGGAAGGGAGGGGGAGAAATATCGATGTAAGAGTGGAACATGGATCAGCTGGCTGCCTCCTGCACACCTACTGCGGTTTGAGCCCACAACTGGGGGCATGTGCCCTGACCGGAATCGAACCAGCAAGCTTTGGTGCACAGGACAATGCCCAAACAACTGAGCCACACTGGCCAGGGCTGGACCACCTATTTTTAAGATTTCTTTAAATCATTTCACCTGTTCTGTTTTGCTCCTACTAACCAATACCTGTGAAAACAATGGTTATGTGGTCATTCTTCCTGAAGTTGTATGTTAAGTCACAGGTGTTAAGTCACCTGCTGCAGGATATTGGCTGTGTGACTCTAGCTGGACTGGTGATGACACCCAGGGCAGTCGCACCTGCTTTCTTTTTCCTCCCCTTTTAATCCTTATCCAAGGAGTGAGGATTTCCATTAACTTCCAGAGACAGTGGAAGGAAAGAGGAGGGAGGGAGAGAGGGAGAGACATCGATGTGAGAGAGACACATTTAATAGTTGCCTCCCGCATGTGAATCTGCAACCTAGGCACATGCCCTTGACTGGGAATCCAACCTGCTACCCTCTACTGAGCCACACAGGCCAGGGCACACCTGCTTTTCTTAGGGACTGCTTCTCCTCCTACATACAGTAGGCACTTAATAAGTGGCTCGAAGTTGCAGTAGAAACCTCGCCAGCTGTCTCTGTGGTCCTCTGCTTACCAGGTCTCTGATGGTGGGCCCGTTGGCCTCTTCCAAAACCCTTTATGGGCACTGTATTCTGGGACCCTCCCATCCACAGTGAGACAGGCAGGTGAGCTATAATCTCCATTTGGTAAATGGAGAAACTGAGGCAGGGAGCCTGACCTGCCCAGGGTTTTTCAGCTTCTCACCTCACCACTCTATACCCCTTTACTCAGGACTGGGTGGGCACCATGAAGAGCTATTTAAGGTGGAGGTGTTTGGCAAGTGTGTCCCGCCTGGAACACAGGCCACATCAATTGGCTCCTGGGTCAAGTTTAGGTCCCAGTCCCACTGCTCCCCTTCTGATACCTTTGGCAAGCGCCCTTCCCTGCACTCTGGGCAGGACACCACAGGGTGAATGGCAGGCCCAGTGTTCGGGGCCTGTGTGCCATGTCTATTTTAAGCCTCTGCCCTGCCTAGGTATTTGCTCTGTGGCTAATGTCCTCAGGAAGCCACCTGGCTGCACCCACACCCAGGAGCCTTGTGAGCTCCCCGAGTCTCCAGGAACTGCACCCCACCCTGGTTCTGGGGCTCTGGATCCAACTTCCTTTTCCAAGACAGAATCAGCTCCTATTAGTGAAGAATGCAGCCTACCCCCAACACACCCTGAGGCTTTGGCTCAGATGCCAGAGGTGTGAAGCATAGCATCCTTGACCTTGGGCAAGTCATGTTCTGGACCTGAAAGTGGGGGGAAGGAGGATGTGAGATGCTCCAGAGAACTGGGCAACAGCTACTCCAGACAGGTGCACCCCTGGGGAAGGTTGTGCTGTGCTGAGGGGGAGTCCCCTGCCATTGTTCTCTCTCACTGGGGCTGCCCCCATTCTCACCAGTGAGTTTCCAGGAGCCAGGAAGCAATTCTGGAGCATACAGGTGCTTTTGGCAGATAAACTTTGAAGACGTTTCCCCTTTTCTCAGGCTCATTACTGTTCTCTTACTAGATATTGCTGGGTGAGGGAGAGACCAGGGTTTACAAAGGGCAGGAGCCCGCCCCCCTCAGCTATCCTGGAAAAGGGGAGTCAGGACGCCTACCTTGCTTAGTAGGTCAGTTCTCTGCCTCCGCTTCCCCCTTCGCCCCTCGTACTCACAGGAACACATTCACATCTTAAGCAAGTACCTGAATACTATGTATAAGTGAAGTAACTGTTTCACAAACCAATACTCTAATATTTTCTAACTTAGTCAGTGTTACTTTTATAAAATACTGGTCACTACCCACTACGTTTTTTTCCAGGACCCCAAAGCGGTCCCTGCTCTGATGTGCACAGTCGAGAGAGAAGCAGACAGTAAGTGAGCGCAGTCACTGACGGAGCTGAGCGCTGGCGGGGAAGGGGATCGCAAACCGACGGAGGGCCGCCAGTTCCTCCCCAGCACCGCCGGGGTCCGCCAGGCCTGGGGCCGCCGGGGTTTGGGGCCTGGTGGCGGGTGGGATTTATTTTAAGGTGCAGGGAACGCCACCCCAGGTTTGGGAGAGGCGCAGGGTTCAATGAGAAGATGCGCTCAGCTCGTTATATTCAGTGACTGACGCGCCGGAAGTGCTCGTTACCGCAGCTACCACTGCACCCCAGGCCGCGGGCGACCCCGGCCCCTGCCTTGAGGATAGGGACCTTCTCCCGGCTTCACCCCGCGGGACCGGACCACCCCACCCCGGCGTCACCCCGCCCCGCGCACGCGCGTTCCGCACCCCCGTCCCACCCTCCTGCAGACCCGCCCACCACCGCGCGGGGCCCGCCGGGAGCCGACGGCGAAGGGCGGGGAGAGGGAGGAAACCAGCTGCGACTGGCGCGGCCGACTGCGCAGGCGAGGACCGAGGCCCGCCCCCGGCAGGCGGCGCGGCCATATTTAAAGGGAGGCCGGCGCGCTGAGCCAATGGGCGGCGAGCGTGCGGGGCGGGGCGAGGCCCCGGATGTGGCTGTGCGGGCCCCTCCTCCCCCGCGCTCCCCTCAGAGACCCCGGTCGCGCGCGCCTGCTCGCTAGCTGCTCCCCTCACGGGTCTCCCCGCCGGCGGAGAGCCGCACAGAGGCGGAGCGGACGGCCCGGCGCCCGCGCGGAGGCGAGCGGGCCAGGCCCGGCCGGCGGCCGTCGCCATGAGTGGTTCGTCGGGCACCCCGTACCTGGGCAGCAAGATCAGCCTCATCTCCAAGGCGCAGATCCGTTACGAGGGCATCCTCTACACCATAGACACGGACAACTCCACCGTGGCGCTCGCCAAAGGTAGCGGCCCGCGGGCGCCCCAACCGCCCGCCCCGCCCGCCAACAGCCGGCCCGCCCCCGACCCGACCCCCACCCCCACCCCCGGGGTCCCCGCAGGATCCTGGCCGCATCACCTCCCCGGGCCTTCACGCCTCTGACCACCCCTCCCCCGCAGGCCGGCTCCCTCGCAGGCCCCCACCCCTCGGCCATCTTCTCCCGGCTACCCCTCCCCCCGCCCCCGCAGGGCACGCCCCCTCCCCCCGCAGGCCCTCACCCTCCTGGCACCCTCCTCCCTTCGCCGCCTGTCATGGCCCCCCCGCCCCCGGGTCTTGTTTCCCTCCCGCGGGCCTCCACTCCGAGCCCGGGGCTCGGCCGGCACCAAGGTCCCCGCCCCAGCGTTATTGTGTGCCGCCGGCCCGCCCAGCCCGCGGGAGAGGGGCGGTGGGGCGGGTCCAGCTCCCGCGGCGCCGCCCTCCTCGCGCCCTCCTGCAGGTGGGGGTCGGTGGCTGGGCCGCTTCCTCCCCACCTGCTGAGGGGCAGCTGGCGCCCACCAGCCGGTCCGGGGGAGTGGGCTCCGGCCTCCCCAGAAGGCGGGGGGGGGGAACACGGTTCCTGCAGGCCCGTCTGGAAAGGATTAAGCAGCCGTGGCCTTGAGCCCGAGTAAATAGCGTCTTATCGGGACGCATGTGGGCATCGGAGCCTTGGCAGCGAGGTGCCCCGTTTAAAGTGCTTGCCGCGCCCCCCGGACATGGCTGCGGGCGGACCCTTCAGGGACCGGTGCTTGCAGGGAGCCACACCGGACCTCCTGGGACCCTTAGTGGAAGGAAGATGGTTGGGCTGTGGCTCTTCTCTGGGCTTGTTGAGGCAGGAGGTGGCCTCAAAGTTTCTTTGTCTACGTCCTCCGAGAAAGATGGCGAGTGTCCTTTCTGTGCCTCTTCCAGAGAAGTGCGGAGCGCAGCCGGGTCCACAGAATCCCTGCTGGTGTGGATCTGGGTAGGCGAGAGACGCCAGAAGCCTGTGAGCGGGCAGCGCTCCCTCCGGTGTCAGAGGGAGCCGCGCCTCGGGCTCCGGTCCTGGGCGGGCTGCGCTGCTCAGGAAGGTAGTTCAGTGCGGGAGCTGGGCGCTCCCTTGTGCCCCGGGCACTTGGCTACATTTCCGTGACATTCCTGGTCGCAGCTGGAGTTGTGCTCAGATTGGGTAGAGGGCGCCCCGGAGATCTCGGGAGACCTGGCTGGGCTCCGGGCCTTGGGGTAGAGAAGCTCGCGGTGGACGCAGGAGCTGGTGGGGCGGGCCAAGCTCTGCATCCCCTCTGTAAAGGCTCCTCCCAGGCTGGCATGGGTCGGAGGGCGGAAACGATTCTGTCAATGTATTCACTTCTCTCCAAGAAAAGGGGGCACTGCCCGGGGCTCGTGTGTGGCAGGTGCCCATCAAAAAGCAGCTGTTGGGCTTTGAATCTGCCAAGTGAGATGTGCAGGGGGGTTCCGCAAAGCAGACCTTGTTCTGCTGTGAGCACGTTGAGCTTCGTGAGGCTGCCAGGCATGGGACTTGTGCTTGGTTTTTCGTGACCTAGAACTTTTTGGAGCTTTGCCAACTGGGGTCTTATCCGTTGAAAATTGGAGGGGGGAGTAGTTGAAGTGTGGAAACCCGGTGCTGGGCTATGGGCGGCACCCAAGGAAGGGGCTGCAGCCCTAAAGGGTTGGTTGAATGGTCTTGGCTGGGACAACTAACGTGTTTTCTCCTCTGCTCCTAAGTGAGGTCCTTCGGTACTGAAGACCGTCCCACAGACAGGCCTGCCCCTCCCAGAGAGGAAATTTATGAGTACATCATTTTCCGGGGAAGCGATATCAAAGACATCACCGTGTGTGAACCTCCAAAAGCTCAGCACTCTCTCCCTCAGGACCCCGCCATCGTCCAAGTGAGTGCGGGCTCTGCGCCTGTGGGACACAATCTCTGAGGGGTGCTGGAGGCCAAGTGGAACTTGGTGTCGGCTGTTTGGCCAGAGCACTCAACTCGAGGAATGGCCTTTTAATGAAAAGTTGTTTAGTTTTTGTCCAGGCTGTTGGTGTTGCTGTGGAAAGTCTTAACTCCTGCAGCATCAGTATTGTGTGTGGGTGTGTCAGTGTCAGAGGAGGGCGAGTGTGCTCAGGGAATCGGTGTTTGCCCATAGTTTCTGGTTGGGTCAGTCTAAATCCCCAGCGGGATGGGGTGCATGGCATACGGTGCCAGCAGTGACAGCAGGACTTGCTCTGCTAACTCTGCCCAGATGTTACATTGGGGTGCTGTGTTGGGGTGTGTTTGCCCAGGATCACCAGGGAGCCCAGGTTCCTGTTTTCTCTTGACTTGTAAATGAGGTATTCGCCAGCTCCTTTGGAGCACAAACTGCAGGGAGAAACCCCTAAGTGGGCCTGAGAGAATGGGGACTCTTGGCCTCCTTCCCACTGGGGGCAGGGCCACGCCAAGGATGGTGTCTTCTCTTTTGCAGAGCCTGGACTACCTGATGCAGGCAGTGGGGAGCCATTAGAGGGATTAATTGAGTTAGGGGAAATTTGAGTGAGAATTACCTGGGCAGGTGGAGCTGGGGATAAAATGTGGACAAGGCAGCTGTAAGCTCCCTTAGACCATCCTGGGAGCTTACCCCTCTGAGGGCCACCCAAGCTTCCAAGAAGCAGGCTGGCAGACCCGGGTGTCTGTCCCTGTCTGAACAGGCCGGGCGATGGGGGCCTGGCACTGCTCTCACCTGTGTGTCCCCTTGCTCAGTCTTCCCTGGGCTCGGGCTCCTCCTTCCAGCCGCACGTGCCTTACAGCCCCTTCAGAGGGATGCCGCCCTACAGCCAGCTGGCCGCCAGCTCCCTGCTCAGTCAGCAGTATGCAGCTTCCTTGGGTCTAGGTGAGTAACCTTTCTTTCTGCTAACCTGCTGTGCTGTGGCCTCCTGAAGCGGCTTCAGCTTCTGATGGGGACACTGTCCTTCGAGTGCTAGGACGTTCAGTGACTACTCACTGAGAGTAGGGGAGGCAGCAGGCTGGGTCCTGGAACAGGTGAACCAAATCCACGTTCGTTTGGTGTCAGCCCAGGTCTGGGGGAGGCCTAGGTACATTGCTTCAGAGACCTGATAACTTCCAGGTGTAATCACAGTGCGTCTGACTCCTTGCACATTTGTGAGCCTGTAAATGTGAAACGGAAATACAGCACTGCCAGGTTATTTCTTCTTCATTCTCCTGTCGATACCTCGCTCAGAAATTGTTTCCCCCAGTTGAATAACTCTGGAATAAGACTATCCCAACACATAGTGAGGGTCTGCCTGGGCCTGGCCGAAGCTTCACCCACCACGCTCCTGCTCTGGCGATAGGGTGTGATCAGGCCCTTGACGTTGTGTGGGTCCCTTGCTTCTGAGTCCTGTTGTCTTGACTGCTGCTCCTAGTGTGGCGGTGCCCTCTCGGCCCGGCTCCTTGTGTTTCTAGAACAGGTTTGTGTGAGCAAAGTGTCCTAGGAGAGATGCTTGGCTCTTTCCAAGCCTGCTGAATGCAAGACAAGTGTCTCATTACTTATCTGTGCCCTTTCTTTTTGCTCTTCTCTCCTTTCTCTTCTTTTAGAGAAGCTGGTAAGCCCTCCAGCCTCAGCCGCAGCCTCCAGCCCTAGCTCCTCTCCATCTCCACAGCCCGTGTCAGAGCCTGACATGTCCTCAGAGCCACACCAGCTCACTTCCAAGGGTAACGGCAGTTTGGGAGAACTGCACGCTGTCTTTGCATCCTGAGAGCAGGGGCGGGTAAACCATAGATAGCCCAGAGGGACAGTGGCTGTGACAGAATTGGCTGAGCCTGTGGATCAGTTAAGCTGCGTTTCTGGTTCAGCACATGGTCCTGATTTAGGAACCCTGGTTTTATTTTATTTTTTTAAATATATTTTATTGATTTTTTACAGAGAAGAGGGGAGAGGGATAGAGAGTTAGAAACATCGATGAGAGAGATCGATCAGCTGCCTCCTGCACGCCCCCCACTGGGGATGTGCCTGCAACCAGGGTACATGCCCTTGACTGGAATCGAACCCGGGACCCTTGAGTCCGCAGGCCGACGCTCTATCCACTGAGCCAAACCGGTTCGGCGGAACCCTGGTTTTAAAGAAGGGCTAGAAAGGACCAGGGAGCCCTTTGCTTGCTGTGCTGTCACTGCCACGTGTGGGCACTGCCCTCTGCTCAGAGGGCTGTCCCCTGGCTTTTGGCCGGTCCTCCGTGGTCTGGATTGCTGGGGGAGCCTGTTGAGCAGCTGCATGCAGCTCTGGGACCTGCGAAACATTCCTTTCATCAAAATTGGGCCTCGCATGGCTGAGTACGATGAAGCCGCTTTAAAGTTGGGTGACCAGCCCGAGCTCTTGACAGGTGAACAGTGTGGGCTGATGTCCGGCCTGTTAATGCTGGTGGTGGGGGTTTCTGGCCTTGCCTGGCGTTGGTTCTTTACGTTTTGCTGGGGGTCTGGAGTTGACATGCATGACTGGGGGCAGAGCTCTGCCCACACCGTGTGGAGACTCACTCGGTCCAGGATAGTGCCTGTCAGCCTGTGCTTTGCATGTGCCCTGCACGGGCGCCAGTGCACTTGCGGTACCAAGAAGTGATGCTTCTCCCTCCTTAAATGTTACACAGACACTCTGTTCTTAGGACCCTGAAAACTGTGCCGAGGCAAGATGGTTTAACTGCTCCATCGGTGTCAGAAAGCAGAGGCCCCAGGTTCTTGCCTGTGTGCTAGAGTGTGAGGGCTCAGTTGGGCAATGCAGCTCAGGGAAGGCTGTGCGGGGAGGTGACAGGCCAGAGGAAGTGCTCTGGGGCAGTGCCCGTTGTAGGGACACTGGTTGCCTGTGACAAGGCTGTTCCAGTCAGCCCTAGGAGTACTTTGATCGGGTGACAAGGAATTTGTCACAGTAATTTCTCTGGTTTTTGTCCTGTTGGAAAAAAAAATTGTGATCTTCACTTGTCCTGAGCCGCCCCTCTCGGACTAAGGACCCCGAGGTTAGGGCTGGTCTTTTCTGTCTCAGACCTTGGTGCACTTCTACCCACAGACCCAGGACCGGGTGAGAGTGGAGTAGGCAGCTGATGAGTAAGGCACATCCCTCTGTCCTCTTTCTTTAGAGGACCCTCTTGTGAGGCTCAGTTTCTGAGCATGTATGTCCTGTGCTCAGGGCTGGGAGTGCAGCTCCATTGCCCAAGGCAGCCTGGAAGTCTTCGTTCTTCAGGACAAGCCCGAACCCTCGAGAGCACCGCAGGCCGCACTTCTCTGTAGTCAGCGCTACTCATCTTTTCTGCTTTGTTACGCCTTACGCAAAAACAGCAGTATCCCAAGAGCTTAACTCCAATGGCTGACCACTGCATTTTCTGGACAGTCCCAGACTGGGATGGTTCTTGCTCAGCGTGGGCCAGTATGGAACAAATCCTCATACAGCATCTCGGGGCCACCAAGCCTCCTTGGGGTCAGAGCTTGTGTGGGTTTTTGAAAGCCATTCCTAGACCACCTGGGAGGTGCTCCTGTGGCCAGGTGTTTTCCCTCTGAGGGGTTTCCTAACGGCCTGGGGCTCAGCTTCCAGGCTGAGCTGGCCTTGCTGCCGGGGCTAGCCGCAGAGGGGCGGCCTGCTGAGGGGGCTTGGGCTGGGTTGGGTAGACCCTCTCTGGGTGGTTGCTTGAACAGAAGTGTCTGTGGGGACTGGGGAACTTTCTCCTTTGCTCTGTTGTCAATCTGCCTTCTCTCCCCAACTCAGGAGCTGGTTTTCCATCCATCCCAGTTGGCAAGAGTCCCATGGTGGAGCAGGCTGTCCAGACTGGTTCTCTTGATAACCTGAACGCCAAAAAGCTGTTACCTGGCGGCAAGGGCACTGTGGGGGTGCAGCTCAACGGGCGCCCTGCCCCGCCAAGCGGCAAGAGTGCCAGCGGTACTGAAACACTCGCTCCCTGGGGTGTACTCCCTCTTCTCACTGTGCACGCTGCTGCCTGGGGGCTTTGTAAAAGAAATGGCGCCCCTCCCAAACACCACATGCATTTGCAGGGCAGGCCCCTGCCGCATGTCCCCTGGGTGGTGCCACCTGCTTCCTTCCCAGCTTCTGCTCTGCCAGGCGCTTGCCTTACTCTCCCCTTTTGCGCCTTAGATGTAGTTCAGCCAGCCGCTGTGCAAACGCCAGGGCAGGTGAACGACGAGAACAGGAGGCCCCAGAGGAGGAGATCAGGTAACAGCTGCTGCCACGTTTAGGCGTGCTCTCTGCCCCCACCCCAACCACCCTGCCTGCTTCTCTGGGCACAGTTTCAGGGGTGCCAGGGCTCGATGGTGGCTTCAGTGTGCTCTCCTCTCTTTTCCTCTCTTTGTCATCTGTCTCACACTCAGTAATATTGTGTTGGTGGCTCATCAGCCATGACTGTCGTTTCTCCTCACAGGGAACAGACGGACAAGGAATCGCTCTAGAGGGCAGAGCCGCCCAACCAACATCAAGGAGAACACAATCAAGTTTGAGGGGGACTTTGACTTTGAGAGTGCAAACGCCCAGTTCAACCGTGAGGAGCTGGACAAGGAGTTCAAGAAGAAACTGAACTTTAAAGGTCAGAGTCCTTATGTGGAAATCTCCCTTGTTCTCCATGGAGTATCCACAGAGTGGGTCAGACAGCTGGAGCCGTGAGATGGGTGGTGATGATGGGGGCTAGTGTGGGAGCTGTGCCCTTTAGGGTGGATGGCATGGGCTGGAGGGAGAAGGCACTTAGCACAGAGCAGTCATTTGGCTGCTGAGTGACGGCGGGCCTGCCGAGGACAGAGGTGCTTTTCTGCCTCCAGCAACTCAGTGGGCTCCACTTCTCTGTGCAGATGACAAAGCTGAGAAGGGGGAAGAGAAGGACCCGGCAGTGGTGACCCAGAATGACGAGGCCCCTGCTGAGGAGGACCACCTGGGGCCCAACTGCTACTATGACAAGTCCAAATCCTTCTTCGACAACATTTCCTCTGAACTCAAGACCAGGTGGGGGGGCGAGGGTGAGAGGGATGGGGGTCCGGGTGGGCTGGTGGGAAAACACACACTGCCTGTTTCCAGGACTGGGACGCACTCTCTTGGTGACCACTCAGGTCTCAGGTTCAGGGCCCTACTCACATGTCTGCCACAGTGGACAAATCCATCCCGCGGTGGCAGCATGGGAGGCCCTGGCAGTCACAGGCACTGAGGGGTCTGCCCGAGTCCCACTCCCACTTCCCTCCTGGCTTCTCTGCCCTGCCCATTGAGGCTGGGCTGGCCCCACCCCCCAGCCGAGTGACTATGGACTTTCTTCCTGATTCCCAGCTGACCCTGGAGGCCTGAGGCCTGGGCAACCTGAGTCAGCCTGCATGTTAGGAGTGTTCTGTTCCGGGTGCTCTTTCACCTGACGCTTGAGGCTGGCACCCCTCGTGTGATTTGTTTTCAGCACCTGACCGCTGGTTACTCAGGTGTTGCCCCGTGAACAAGCTAGACCATGAGAGAAATCTGAGCGGCATGCTGCGGAAACTCTGATCCCTCCACTGGCAAGCAGAGTGTCAGGCACTGCTGAGCACAGAGGGTGCAGCGAAAGCAGGCTGGGGGTCCTCACCTCCTGCGCTGAGGTCTTCTGGCGGGGACGGGTGGATGCGGAGGGGCAAGATACACACAGATTGAAATGCATTGAGGAGAACCGGGCCGTGACTCAAAATGGGCCAAGAGAGCAGGTCTCCAAGCCTGTTCTGTTGGGCAGGGCAGGCAGCTATCAGAGGTTGGGAGCCCAGGATTGAAGCCGCCTGACCTTTTACCACGTGGGTCTTTGGTGAGAGTGGCTGCAGGTGGCCACTTTCCAATAGTTCAGGTGTCTCAACTGGACCTGGTGATGGAGAGAGGCTTGGCTTCTAAACTGCTTTGAAGGTGGGTCTGATGGTTTGCTGGCAGGATGTGAGGAGAGCTGGTTGGCCTCAGTGGCAGCTGGGTCATAGCTGCTGTTTCTTTAAATGAGGATTGTTAACAGTTGTGGGTATTTACTAGCGGTGCTTGGGGAGCTCAAAGGGTTCTGGAGCCATGCTGTGCTGGTCCCCAGCACCTGTAAAGTATAAGCACACTCTTGGGGACCCTGCCCATTTAACCCAGCCCCTCCTCATCTGGTAGAAACCTGTTTTGGGGGGTCCATGGTCTGCTCCAGGCCTTGGAGACTGTGCAGGCCTGAGCCCAGCAAGCAGGCGGCTTCCATTGGAGTGCACTAGTGTCACGGGCTTGTTTGGGGGACAGAGGTGTGAGCTCTGTGTCTAGCAGCCTAGTCCCGTGAGGAACGGGCCTGGAGCACCTGTAGTGTTGGTTGTCCAACTGCAGGGGGCCAGCTGGGTCGCCCTCGAATGGCTCCAGGAACACAGTGACTGTCCTTCCTCCCAGGCTCAGAAAGCTGGGATGGCTGCCCCTGCAGTCAGTTTTCACAGCCCTTGTCTGTTTCAGTTCCAGGCGGACCACGTGGGCTGAGGAGAGGAAGCTCAACACGGAGACCTTTGGGGTGTCAGGAAGGTTTCTTCGTGGCCGTGGATTCCGAGGCGGACTGCGGGGGGGCAGGGGCAGTGGCACCACCCGGCGCAACCCGACTTCCCACAGAGCCGGGACTGGCAGGGTGTGAAGAGCAGCCGGAGGTGAGTGGGTGACTTGCAGGGTCCTCTAAGGGGAGGGCATGGGGTTGCAGTACCCCTGCAGGGAGCCTCTTCAGGAATCGCAGAGGTGAGGCCCGCTCTCAAATCTCCAGGGGGCTCTTGGGGACCCCGGGCCCAGCATTGTCAAAGTGGGTTCCCGTGCAGGAGGGCCGGGTGCTTGTTCCTCAGGGGAGAGGGGTCAGCCAGGAGAGCTGGTGACAAGCCAGGGTCTTGGTGCAGCCTGGCCCTGCCTTTTCACAAGGTCCCGGGTGACGTGTGTGCCCCTTAGGGTCTGGGTGGTAAGAGGGTCATGGTGGATGGGACCCGGAGCTGCCTGCTACGGCATGCATACAGAAGGAATTTTCCTGGTGGGTTGTGATGGGGGAGTCTAGGAAGCCCTGGCCTGACATGGGGGGACGCCTGCTGAGCCCACTCATGTGGTGTCATGTTCCCCCTGCAGGCTCCTGCAGAGGCAGCGGCAGAAACGAAGCCGAGTGAGGACGCTGCACTTACTGGACAGACAGGCGTTGGGTCACCGTTTATTACTTTTGTTTTGACGTCATGGAACTTGGACATGGTCCGAGTTAGAACTGCTCATGTTCGGGGAGTGTTTAGGGTGACCTCTCTGAGGTCTCTGGGTCTTTCCTCTTCAGTTATGCACAGTCTACCTAAGGTTTTGGTGTTTTGCAAAAAGTTTTCTAGAGCGAAAGCGTGATCTTCACTTTGAAAAAAAAAATTTGGGGGGGACAACTTTGACTTTTAAAGTGGACCGTGTAGCAGCCAGGCACAGCTCTGTCACCCAGCTGGCGCTCATGCTGCTGGCCTGGTACCCCCACTGCCACTGGTGGGCCTCAGGAGCAAGGCAGGGCCAGCCCAGGGGGTGTGGGGTCACGTGGGCCCCAGCAGGGAAAGTGGAGTTCCCGCAGATCATGTGTGAGCAGCAGACCACCTGATGTCCAGGGTGGTGGTATTGAGGTTGGGACTGGCAGGCTGGCACTCTTGGAGGCACAGAAGGGGCCTGAACATGAGCTGGGAGCTGTCTGTTACTCAGAGCCTGGCTTCTATAGGAGTCAGGATTGGGGTGGCATACCCATCCTCTCTGTCCTGCCAGTCAGTGTTGGACTCAGACCACTGTTCGAGTCTCATCCACTTGGAAATGAGCCAGTCTTTTTTGCAAGCTCGGCTGACAGAGCGAGTTGTAAATAGTTGTGTTTGTTTTGTAGGTGGGTGGAGGGAGGTGGGATGTAAACTGTTGCATGAGTAAATGGGTCACCTTAGTACAAGCATGCTCCCCCCCTGAAGACAGGGCATCTTGGTGAACATAAGCACCTTGGTAACTAAATCCCTAGACAGCTATGAAGATTTTGGTTCTGTATTAAGTTACTGTAAAAGCTTGGTTTATTTTTGTAGAACTTAATGGCTAAGAATTAGAATGTAGCAGTGGGGCTGCTCTGTTGGAGTAATGTATATTGTAATTAAAATAAACATGCAAACTTTAAAATCTTCTCTGCTTTGAAAGTAAGTGGTCCTGTTGACTCTGCCTGAACCCCATCACACCCGATAGGCCTGCCCCAGGGGACCTCTGATGCTCTTGTCTCAGCTGGACTGGGCAGTGTCAGGCCTGTTCACCATGGCCACCCTTTTGGGATGAGTGGCTCTGCTTTCGTGACACAAAGTAGTTTCTAAAACTCAGTTCACAAATGAACCTGATTCAGAAATGGTCCCTTGGCCCACCCCTTACACAGCCTCTAAGCGTCCCTGTTCTGACTGCCTTCGAACCTGTTCGCAGTGCCTTCGAACCTGTTCCAGGGCTGGGCCCTGGACTATGCAGAGCAGCAGACAGGCTGGTTTCAGACTTTGAAGCATCCCTCCACTCTAATGGGTTTTGGGTGACTTTAGAAGCAACACACTGGTCAGCTGTTTCGTCCCTCCATACCTGCCTGTGGTCCAGTCAGGCCCAGAGTTGGACTGAGCAGCAGGCCTCTGAGGTCTGGCCTGGCTGTCATTCATAATTTGACAAGTTTTGGGCAAACTTTTTTTTTTTTTTTTGCAACTAACATCCTTGACCAATGAAAACAATCCTCCCAGGTGCACATGCTAGATTCAGATAGCCAGGGCACGAATTTGAAATTAGTTGGGAACAGTTGAACTAAAATATTCTCTGTGCTGAGAGTCTACATATTGTCAATTCAGTTACCATGTGTGACCAACCTTGCTGCTCAATCTTCAACTGAAAACCATTGTGACAATTGCCTGTTTTAGGCTGGACTAAAGTATCTGGGCCTCTCGACTCCTTTTTAGAAGGTAGATTACATGTGCCCTCAAGGGGAATGTGGAGTAAGAAAGCTACTGACTGAGGCAGAAAGGGGACCCTAGAATCCTAGCAGAGTTGGTAAGGGGCAACCAGCTCAGGGACCCGAAAGCCTCCCCGTCACCAAGACCAGCAGCCTCCCGCAGAGTGGCAGGCCAATGGGCTTGTTAGGTTTTCTGTAGGGACATTAAGACTGACCTGCACTGCTGCAGGCCTAGAGGCTAGGACAGAGATGGCGAACCTATGACAGTGATGGCGAACTCATTTTTTTGGTTCATTTTTCTTTGTTAAATGGCATTTAAATATATAAAATAAATATCAAAAATATAAATCTTTGTTTTACTATGGTTCCAAATATCAAAAAATTTCTATATGTGACATGGCACCAGAGTTAAGTTAGGGTTTTTAAAAATGCTGACACGCCGAGCTCAAAAGGTTCGCCATCACTGGGCTAGGAGGATAGGTTTTCTGGTTAAAAAGTGAACGAGGCACTGGCTCAGTTGGTTGGAGCTTCATCTCGTACACCAGTGGTCAGCAAACCGCGGCTCTTTGGCCCCTTGAGTGTGGCTCTTCCACAAAATACCATGTGCGGGCGCGCACATACAGTGCGATTGAAACTTCATGAACCATGCGCAGAAGTCGGTTTTTGGGAAGGAGATAGACGAAACAAGTATACAAGACGAGTGTGGATGGGAGAATTGGAAGGGGTCGACCTCAGCGAACGTACCTCAATCAGATTGCGGACGTTTTTAGCAAAGGCCAGCTTAGGCGTACCCTAATTAAGTTCATAACAATGTACTTACCTATATAGTTTAAGTTTAAAAAATTTGGTTCTCGCCGAAACCGGTTTGGCTCAGTGGATAGAGCGTCGGCCTGCGGACTGAAGGGTCCCAGGTTCGATTCCGGTCAAGGGCATGTACTTGGGTTGCGGGCACATCCCCAGTAGGAGATGTGCAGGAGGCAGCTGATCGATGTTTCTCTCTCATCGATGTTTCTAACTCTCTATCTCTCTCCCTTCCTCTCTGTAAAAAATCAATAAAATATATTTTAAAAAAAAAATTTGGTTCTCAAAAGAAATTTCAATCGTTCTACTGTTGATATTTGGCTCTGTTGACTGAGTTTGCCGACCACTGTCGTACACCAAAGGGCTGTGGGTTTGATTCCTGGTCAGGGCATATGCAGGAGACAACTGATCCATGTTTCTGTATGCCCCGCCTTCCTCTCAAAATCAGTAAACATCCTCAGTGAGGATAAAAAGATTAGAAAGCGAGAGGGTGGGTAACAGTAAGCACCAGAAGTCTTGGAGAAAACGAGAAATGTTGACCTGACCTAGTAAATCCATAAACATAAGGCTAGTTCTGAACACAACTGCTGCTCAGCAAATTTTAGGGTAAGCACTTTAAACTGAGTGCTGTTTGTGCTCCTGTCCTTGACCTGATGTTAAATGGGAGCTTGAACAAAGGTCAAAGGAACAATCAACCTATTTGGAACAAGAAAAGGAGGGTTAGAAGTGCCAGGTGCCCCTACCTACAGCAGTCTCGCACTGCAGCCCTAACACCCCTGGCACTGCGTGCGGGACGACCCCCACTCAGTCTGTGGCTGTTGTCTGGGAGCCTGGCAACAAAGACTAAGGAGGAAAGCTCACACTCAGGAAAGCTTTTAGAGACTGACCACGGGGGTCGACTCCATTTCTGCAAGAGCTGCTGTAATTCCAGCCCCGGCCGGGTAGTTCAGTTGGTTAGATACGCCAAGGTTGCAGGATGCTGGTCAGGGCACATACAAGAATCAAACAATGAACGCATAAATAAGTGGAACAAATTCATGTTTCTCTTTCTCCCTTCCACTCTAAAGTCAATTAAAAAAAAAAAAAGCTACCATAAATCCACCCGAAAGACCCATGGGCTGTAAAAAGGCGAGGTTAAAAACATGGAAGTTTATTGTAGGACACAGACAATGGAATGTCGGCGCCTGCACATCCATTGGTTCTCACATCACCCATGATTTGCATTTAAAAATTGCTCCCAGCAAGATTTGATTGATCATGATGCTTTCTTTTGTTTCTTCTTTTCATTTTCTTCTTTCTCTTTTTCAATTTCAGCCACATATTTCTCGATTTCTTCAGGATTTAAAATCTACCAAAGAGAGTGTTTCTGGTTAGCCCCTCAGCCTAAGAGGTGCCCCAGTGCAGTAAGGCCCCCACAGGGAGGGGGCTCCTGGACGCGCTACAGCTGCTTCTGCAGGTCGACAAGGCCATGTGGCCTGTGTGGGGATCAGTGAAAAGCAGAAGCCAACCTGCACAGCTGCTGACTGCTTGTCTGCATGCCAGGAGCACACACGATCACCATCTGTGACCATGCAGTCAGCCCTGGCATGCTTGCGTCCCACCCGTTTGTGGGGAGCCTTGCCTGGTGCTAAAGCCACAGCATCGTGAACCAGCACTGCCCTGCCCGTCCCCAGGAGCACTCCACCGTGAAAACAGCAAGAGACATGCGTTTACCTTGAGGGGCTGGTCCCGCCTCATGACAGCCAGTTCGATGTTTTTGCCTCCCGACTGAACCACCTTGGGAGGAGCCGGAGAGAAGAGCATTAGACAGCCACGCCCACCTCAGGACCAAATAGGTTCTTTAGAGCAGCGGTCGCCAACTGGTGGTCCCTGGTGGTCCGTGGACCACTATGGTCCATGAGGGCCGAAAGGTTGGTGACCGCTGGTTTAAGGAAACTTTTGGAGCAGCGGTTGCCAACTGGTGCAGACCACTGTGGTCCATGAGGTCTGAAAGGTTGGCGATCGCTGCTTTAGAGGATGACCTGTGCACCCAAACCCAGCACTGCCACTCTAGGGGACAGGCCGGGCACACTGCAATCCCAGCACCCACAGCTTCTACGCTGCCTCCTTGCCAGTCAGACCTTGGCTGGGTCTCTGGTCCCTGCTCCTGACACCAAGCCCCTGCTCTGTGGACCGCAGCCTAGCCTCCAACTAGCCTCTCTCTGCCTCTGGCTTCACCCTCCAGCATCTGTAAGGTCTCGACAAAGCCCAAGACCCCAAAACTCCCAGCAGTCTTCCTAATTTCTGCTCTCCCAGCAGCTGGAGCCCAGGAAGGCTGAGTGTGGTTGTGAGCTGTGCCCTGACTGTGCCAGTCGTATGTAGGAGCTGGCGGAGCAGAGCAAACCCTTGTGGCCTGCCACCCAGCCCACCCAGGGAACACTATCATGGCATGGGTGTCCTCACTGGCTTGCCTAGATGCAAAGGCAAACTTACTTCCAGGAGGGCCTTGATCACTAGCTTGATG